ACAGCCGGTAGAAACGGGGAGAACAGCCGGTAGAAACGGGGAGAACAACCGGTAGAAACGGGGAGAACAGCCGGTAGAAACGGTGAGAACAGCCGGTAGAAACGGTGAGAACAGCCGGTAGAAACGGTGAGAACAGGTGGTAGAAACGGTGAGAACAGCTGGTAGAAACATGAGAACAGCTGGTAGAAACGGTCAGAACAGCTGGTAGAAACGGTGAGAACAGCCGGTAGAAACGGTCAGAACAGGTGGTAGAAACGGTGAGAACAGCTGGTAGAAACGGTGAGAACAGCTGGTAGAAACGGTGAGAACAGCTGGTAGAAACGGTGAGAACAGCTGGTAGAAACGGTAAGTATAACATTTAAGTTAATGCTTGAATGAATAAAAATGTCTTCAGCTGCTTTTTAAAGGAATCAAGAGACGGCCACATGAAAAGACAGGGGCAGGTCATTCCACAGCCTGGGGGCTACGGCAGGGTTACCTCATTGGTTCATAGTGGTTGACTGCTGGTCACATGGCCTCAGGGAGGGATTATGGGTAAAATTTGTGTTCAGTGTTAATCATTTTGGTTAGCTGTTTAGCATAGATCTTTTAGTGATTAGTCTGTTGTTGTTAGCCTAGTTTATATGTTCATAATGTGCTAGTTTGTATTCGGCCATTCAGTAGAGGAACATGAGCGAGAAGGTAGTTTTCATGAAGACCTGTGGGGTTCACTCTTTGTCTGTGTGTGTTGAAGAGCAAACTAAAGTGTATAAAGTGCCCTCTAGTGGTTGTTTCTTGATCTACAACAAGAGCTGCACATTTCTTCAGTAGCTGTGTGCTGCCACTCATGGTGCAACATGAACACTCACGGCTGATACACAAGCGCTGCTTCTTTATGTGCAAAACAGTGTTTTTTATTATTTGTTGTGCGCGGCTTATAGTCAAGTACGCTCTATAGACTGGCAATCACGGTAGCTTGCAGCCTTCTCGAGAACTTTTTGAGTAGTAGGCTAACGGGTCATTTCCCAACATCAACACATTCAAGGATTCAAGGTTCTTTATTTGTCATACACACCACATGTGGTGGAACGAAATTGTGTACGCAGGGTCCCAGTTACATCTAACAAAAGTATAAAATGTAAAAGGAAAACAGTAACAAGATTTAAGATGTGAACTAAGAAAAACATTAACTACAAATACACTAAGCACGAACATGAGTCTGTGTGAGCAGTTCAGTACAAATGAACACAGCAGTATGAAACGGATCAGCAGCAACATGATGGGATTCTTCAGTGATTCTCCTGGTTAGATGTTCATGAGTCTAACAGCCTCAGGGTAGAAGCTGTTCCTCAGTCTAGTGGTCCTACACCAGTTCTACATGGGAGAAACTAAACAGCCACTGGCCAGATGAATTCAAACACATTCAAGAATCTAAGAAAGAATTATTCCACAATTAATTATAATCTTTATTCTTGTATCTTGCAGCAGTCCCAGCTGAATGCATGCAGCTGAAAAAGTTCACTTTGTTTTCTGTAACTACAGACGAGATCATGGAATCTGATGCACATCAGTAATCCCCTGCCGTTTGTTTTCAGGTAAAACCAGTGTTTTGTCCAAAGAGGACTGGTGGCAGCTGCTGGTGAGCTGCCTGCTGACGATGTGTGAGGTGAAGAGATACGAAGAGGCCGAGCTCCTCGTGGAGTCTGCCATGGAGTTCTACTCCTTCTACGACAACAAACCCAAGAGGAAGGAGCTGGAGTTCTTGGGTCTGTCTGCCACCGTCCTCAGCCACGACTACTACAGGGCCTACAACTACATCAGGTAGTCTGCTAGTACCTCACAGTCTGGGCTTTAGCTGTTTCTTCATCCTGTCGTTGTCTTTACAGGCTGATGCTTCTGGAGAACGTTCATCTGCCTCAGCTTTGGAACATTTTCAACCAGGTGTCTGTCGGTCTCTGTTGAGGTATTCCGGGGAGGGTTTTTGGGTCCAGGTTGGGTTTGCTCACGTCTCTGTTGTGTCTCTGCCTCTCGCCAGCTGACGATGAACTCTCAGCACCAGCGTCACCATCGCTTCTGCCTGCGCATGCTTTTGAAACACCCTGACAACATCATGCTGTGTGTGCTGTGTGGACACAATGCCATGGTGTCGGGGAGCTTCAAGCACGCCCTCGGTATGATCCTCACAGCTGTACAGGGAGGCGCTCGTCCAACAAGAAACAAACTTTGACCTTCTCATTAAAGCTGTGTGACCTTTGACCTCGGGGGCCCAACACATTTTAACAAGGGGTTAAAACCAAAAAAAGCAATAACATCATAGTGTTATTATATAATCAACAGGGTTAGAGTTTCTTTGCTGTCATTCGCATCACACGTGGTACATGTAGTGGAACAAAATTATGTGCACAGGGTCCCAGTTACATCCAACAATAGTAAAAATATAAAGTGTAAAAAGGAACGGCAAATAAGGGTCTGAGAGAACAACCAAGATGCACGCTAAACGAACACCAAGCGGTGCGTTAAAGATCTAATACGTACGTCCGTCACTAACCGTGCAAAGCAACACACCGAACAACAGCAGCACGATTCTCAGGTTCTGTTCGGCTACAAGTTACACGCTTAATGCGAGCACTAGCATAAACTAGGATTTATTCAAAGCATGCAACAAAAATACAGAATCAAGGCACCAAAAGTGAAAAAGAAATGAACCTACAGCAGCATGGTCCTTTTGGCAGAGTGGTTCTGGTGACGGTGAGGTTTCTCTTTGCAACATGGTCCCGCTGGCACCATGCTACTTTTAGCAACGTGATGTTCATAGCAGCGTTAGCAGGTCTTGTTAGCAGGTCCCTTCAGAAGACTGATGCTCATAAGGACCGCAGCAGCTGCCTCCCAGACTGCCCTCCAGAACCGGGTCCAGCAGACAGAGAACATCCGAGGTTCCCCCGTGGAACCTAGCGGTGTCCGCAGAGTTCAGTCCGATCAGGCAGCCGGCGGATCTTCTTAACAGCATTAGCAGTTCAGCAGGTCTAGTTAGCAGCTCAATGGTAACAATGGCCGCAGCAGCTGCCCTCCAGAACCGGGCCTGGCAGACTGAGAACATCCAGGTTTCCCCACGGAACCGAACGAGTACGTAGAGTTCGGTCAGTGAAGGCATATGGAGGATCCTGGAGACAGCCGCCATGACAGGCCTGAGCCTGAGGCTGGAAGGACTGAACCACGATGGCACGTTGAATGGGTTGGAAAATGGTCTTGACAGGCGTCGTCAGTAAATTTACAGTTGCTGTCCCCACTCGGGACCAGCGTGCTGCCACGGTGGCAAAGGTTTTGGTGTCAGAATGGTTTTATAAGTTTGGTGTTCCTGCTCGGCTGCATTCCGACCAGGGTCGTAACTTTGAAAGCTTGCTCATCCAGCAGTTGTGGAATTTATATGGGGTTGTAAAATCGCGCACCACTCCATGTCATCCAGAGGGGAATGGTCAATGTGAGCGCTTTAATCGGACGCTTCACAATCTGTTGCGGACACTGCCTGTGTCCCGGAAAACGCTTGTCTGCCTCAGCTCCTTTATTGGTATAACACCACTCCTCATCAATCTATTGGAGAGTCGCCATTTCTTTTAATGTTTGGTCAGGAACCTAGATTGCCCATGGACTTCCTGTTGGGTAAGGTTGAGAGCCCAGTTGGTGGGTCTATTCATGAGTGGATCCAAGAACATCAAGCTCGTTTGCAGGTAGCCTTTGAGGGGGCCAGGGATCGCTTGCAACAAGCAGCATATCGCCAAAGGCAGGCCCATGACTTTCATGTAAAACATCTGCCTTTGAATGAAGGGCAGTTGGTATTTTTACGTGACTTTAGTGCTCGGTGGCCTCATAAGACTCGGGACCGATGGAGCTCTGAGAAGTACAAAGTGTGGAGGGCACCAAAGGAAGGTGGCTCTGTTTATACTATTGTGCCTGTGGATGACCAGACTAAAGTAAGACAGGTTCGCCGCACCATGATAAAGCCTGTGGTTGGTGTCATTCCTCCTGATCACATCCCTTCACTTGACTTACCACAAGCAGAAAAGTCACTGTCTGAGGACGAGGACCCAGTTGATTATGAGCTGTTTGTTTGTGAACAGCAACCTCAGGTGGTGGCTTCTGCCTCACCCTTTAGTAAATGGTAAATGGACTGTACTTGTATAGCGCCTTTCTATCTGATCAAGATAGTCAAAGCGCTTAGCACACTGTGCCTCATTGACCCATTCATACAGCTCTATACTAGATCTCTACAAAGATAATTGAACAAATCGTTCTAAAGAGACTAATCAGAGCTTTATCACATTCATACACTGATGGACACACACATCAGAGGCTGTGAGGGGGTCGGTGTCTTGTCCAGGGACACTTCAGCATGTGACTGCTGGTGGATTCGAACCCCCAACTCTTGCATTGGAGGACGACTGCTCTAACCACTCAGCCACAGCCGCCCCTAGTAGTAGTAGTAGATCCTCTAATGGCTGTATCTACTGGAGCTTCTACGTCTCTGGCTGTTCCATCTGTCAGCTGTGCTGATCCAGTGGTCCTACGCCGGACCACACGTTCAACTGCTGGTCACCATTCTAATTTGTACCATCTCCCACGGCCAGTGGGAGGTGTTCATCCTGTAGGTCCTTCTGCACCTCTGTTCACGTTTACTTAGGCCTGTCACAATAATACGTTTTGCTGGGCGATTAATTGAGAAATTATTGCGATGCACGATAAAATTGTTTAAAATTTGACAATAATTAGTAATTATTGTCAAATTTAAGAAGAAATGTTGGTTAATTTTTGTGTGTAGTACCTTTATTGACCACTGGATGGCAGTATAAGACCATTTGAACCAAAGGATGGATAGTGAGGGAACGAGCAGCGTGTGTCTTTATGAAAAATGTGAGGGAGGCCCCTTGACGTGACATGGGCTGTCTCTCTCTCTCCTTTTCTTCGTTCTCAAAATGGCGGATGTGCGGTTTGAGCTCTTTAGCATTTTTCTTACGAAGCTTTTAATAAAAAATCAGTAAACAAGTTCTCAGCTTCTTGTTTCAGCGACAAACAACTTTTTACATGAAACACGGGTTTCGATCGTGAACTTTGGAGCTCCAACAAAACTGAGGTTTTTTCCCCCTCGAGGTCGGCCTGTTAGCTTAGCTCGTAGCTTAGCTTCTCAGTTTAGCTGCTTTTCGATCCAACAACACGATTTTAGTTAAAATGGATTTTAAAGAGAAAAGAGAAGGGAGGGGTCAGTGAGAGCGCCGGAGTTGAGCTTTTTGTCATCCGGTGTCTTCAGAAAGAGAGACACGAAGAAAGGATAAAGCCGATAAATGAAAACGAGGTTGATCATTTTAATTTGCCATGCGATGAATTGATTTAGTGTTTATCGCGGCGGGCCTACGTTTACTGGCATTCCTGTTCAATAGCAGTCCATAAAAACACCAACCTGTAAAAGTACGTTCACCCTTCACGTGCCTCGCCCTATCTGCTTCCATGTGACCCAGTGGTGACTGGCGTGGTTCTTCTGGTTGTCTTCAGGTCAGTACGTTCAGGCGTTGAAGGCCCACCCCACCAACCCGATGCACAGTCTGTGTGTGGGTCTCACCTTCTTCCACATGGCGTCTCAGAAGTACGCGGCTAAACGCCACGCTCTGCTGCTGCAGGTACCGCTGCACCCTTCGCGTGTCGTTTTGTGTGCGCGCGCCATGTTTCAGGTTGTGTGTCATGTCTTCAGGGGTTCTCCTTTCTGTGGCGGTACTTGGAGCTGCGTGGGGAGTGTCAGGAGAGCCTGTACAACCTGGGCCGAGCTCTGCACCAGATGGGCCTCACACATTTAGCCATCCATTACTACCAGCAGGCCCTGACACGGCCTGCTCCCACGCTGGATGTACGTACCCATCGCTGGTCACTGAAAAGTTCTAGAGTCCACGTTAATGACTCCAGTCCTGTCTCTGTCCTCTCAGGGTATCGCAGACGACCAGGTGGACCTGAGGAGAGAGATCGCCTTCAACCTGTCCCTTATCTACCAGGCCAGTGGGAACATGGAGATGGCCCGGCAGCTCATCAGAACCCACTGCATTGTTTGACCCGTCTGTCAACCGGTTCCCCACAGACACTGAACTTCCAGTTCTCAGGAATAAAATCAGCTAGAAGAAAGATCTCAGGAAAATGACCTCACGTTGAATGAATGTTCTTCGTATTTATAAAACGTTTTATACTTTGTTGCTAATGTTTCTTGTTTTATTAAACTGGGTTTTTACTCTGACTTGATGCCAAAATGACTGACGATGTCCTCTTGGGTCACAGTCCGGTTATTCCTGGTGCAGGTTGGATTGTCTCTTGTCTGTGGACTCCACACCTGTTTGTGGTCTTCATGGACAGGATCTCGAGGTGCCATGGTGGAGAGGAGGGCGTCTGGTTTGTGAACCTCAGGGCCTCGTCTCTGCTTTATGCTGATCATGTGGTTCTGTTGGAGACTGTGACTTTCCAAGCGCATGGCTCTGGACTTCCTGGTCTATGTTCCAGCCTGTGGTCATGAGGTGGTTGTCTTCATACTCTTGTTCGAGCACGTTCTTGTCCTTCTTTCAGTAGTTGTTCCAAATCAGCGCTTCTATGCGGCTGATGATGAGAGGTATCTGCCTCGCAAGTAGCGAATGCAACTGTTGGTGGTTTTCTTGTTTTCCAGGAGATTAAATAACTTCTTAGTCTGACGTCCTGTCAAACGTAGTTCCCTTGAGTTGTTCATCTTGTGCCTGGTCCGTCGTACCTCGGAGGCGTCTGACCACGTTTCACCGTGTTCCAACTTTCTGTCGGTTCAGTAAAACGTGGCGACGCATCACCGACCTCAGAGCTTAGATTTGGTCCACACAGGTAGACAAAAGGGTTCAACTTTCTGCTGCTTCTCTGTGTGTTGTCCAACATGTACACAGCACAGTATTTAGGTTCCAGACTGGTGTTTTTAGACCATACATAGATTTATTTTACGTACCCAGTACGTACGGGTGCTGGTCATAACGTTAGAATTATGAAACGGTTGATTTATTTCAGTAATTCCATTCAGAAAGTGAAACTTGGACATTATATTCATTCATTACACACGGACTGGTCTATTTCAAATGTTAATTTTAATGTTGGTGATTATAACTGACAACTAATGAAAACACCAAATTCAGTTTCTCAGAAAATTAGACTAATAGACCAATAAAAAATTAAAAAAAAGATTTTTGGACATGTTGGCCAACTGAAAAGTACGAGCATGTTCAGCATCAGTACTTAGCTGTTGCTCCTTGTATCTGGATTACTGCAGCGATGCATCGTGGCATGGAGTGGATCAGTCTGTGTCTCTGCTCAGGTGTTCTGAGTCCAGGTTGCTCTGATCGTGGCCTTCAGCTCTTCTGAACCGTTGGCTCTGGTGTATCACAGCTTCCTCTTCACAATATCTCTCAGATTTTCTATGGGGTTAAGGTCAGGAGAGATTGCTGGACAAATAAGAACAGGGACACCATAGTCCTTAAACCAGGTACTGGGCCTCGCGATGATATATTTTACTGGGCGAATAATTGTCTCAGAAATTATTGCGATAAACGATAATATTGTTTGAAATTTGGCAATAATTAATTATTGTCAAATTTAAGAAGAAATGTTGGTTAACTTTTGACCACCTGGTGGCAGTATAAGACTGAACCAAAGGAAGGATAGTGAGGGAGCGAGCAGCGTGTCTCTAAGAAAAGTGGGAGAGAGGCCCCTTGACGTGACAAGAAGGAAGGAGAGACGTCTCCCTTCTTGTTTTCAGTTCTCAAAATGGCGGACGCTCTGTGTGGTTTGAGCTCTTTAGCATTTTTCACACACAACTTTTAATATAAAATCAGTAAACAAGTTCTCAGCTTCTTTTTGCAGAGAAAAACAACTTTTTACACGAAGGCACGGGTTCCAACCGTGAATTTTGGAGTTTGGACAATGTTTTTTTCCCAGAGGTCGGCCTGTTAGCTTAGCTCGTAGCTTAGCTTCTCAGCTTCGCTGCTTTGAACCATCCAAAAACACAATTTTGGATGGTTAAAAGGATTTTAAGGATATATATA